GTTGAGTCTCCATCCCTGGAGGTGTTTAAAAAACATGTAGATGTGGCACTTTGGGACATGGTTTAGTAGGCATGGTGCTGCTGGGCAGATGGTTGGACTTGATGATCTTAGAGGTCTTTTCCAACCTATTATTCTATGATTCTTTTCTGCTTGGAAAAGTGCCCATAAGCCACTCATGCCCTCCAAGCCCCGAGAGGGAGTGGAGAGTCGGGCTCCCTCTGCCCTCCCTGAAGCCTGCACAAGCATCCAAAGGGCTCCAAGAAGAGGGTGGACGCACATACCTTTGGTTACCGAGACAAACCTCCAGTCAGATGGTTTCCTCAGAATATCTTTGTAACAAAGAGGGCTGTCAAGGAGGAAAAAAATGAAACAAGTAACAAAAACGAGAGGTTAGAGCCCTGCCACCAGCCACAAACACGCCCCGCTCTCACCCTGTGCTCCAAGAAGCTGGACTACTCACAGTGAGAAACGTATGGACTTCCAGCCTACACAGAAAACCTGAAAAGGTCTTTTCCCAGTGAGCACGGAGGCAGAGAAGTGAACTGGGGCTAACCTCTGGTGGTGTACCCAACTGTCTAGTTCCACCTTACATTCAGATGCTTTTGTTTCTCAAGTGCAGACAGCAGTTCTCCACACACAACAGCTTTCAGGCTATTCTTTTTGACCCCCCGAACGCTCGAAACCGGAGCAAGTACAGAAGCAGCACACATTAGAGCTACAAAGAAATCCTGAACTCCCCTTCGACTGGTTCAACTTGAACCTTGCAAGACTGCATTTTATAAAGATCTTTGTTCCTACACTGACAGCCACTCTCCGATTAGAATTCTGTCAAAACTATTATAAAACATTTATTGACAGTAGCAATAAACAGAACATTTTTTTTGTAAAACAACATTAAAGCGGAAAATGGCTTTAGGTCATTTTTGACCAGCCAGCTGTACAAAAGCTTAAGCAAAGCAGCAGTCAAGGAGGCTGGGTTTGGAAGAATCCACACCGAGTTCAGTTCAGGAGATGTCATGCCTTATTAGATCACCAAAATAAGCTGTAATTGTCTTCAGTTTATTATTGAGGAAATTTTGTTCTATTTCAACTTTCCCTCCTGGCCCTGCTAAGGAAGCCACCTGAAAAACAAAGAACAAAAGGCGAATCAACCAACGCACGGGAAAAGAGGTGAAACCCCAAACCTTTTACTCAGAAGAAATACCACATAAACCACATCTTTGCTCTGTTAATACTGGTGACAATGTGCCTTGCCACCTAACGCCTCTGGTCCTCTTTCCACGTCTCCTATTACTCACAGACTTGGTTTGTGGCTTTCTTGTGTCTGAAAAATCCCCCTCACCCCAAGCCATGAAAATAAGAGGACTTCAGGACTAGAGATCAGCAGGCATCATTTCACCTGCTGTGCTGAGGCCAGAGATGCTCGGCTCTGGTTTGCAGGGCACCTGGCATTTGAAACACCCAGTTGCAGCAACAGCAAGCTGCAAACTGCGATCAGTAGGTGTCAAAAGCCCAAGTTTTGGGGGAAGAGAAAAAACAAATCCTGAAAATTAGGAAGCATTAAGGTTGTGCTGGGGGGGGATGGCGGAACTCAAAACCCAAACAGACAGAGAAGTTCACAAGAGACAGTTACAGTTTTTTGTTGTTGTTATTGCAACCAAAATAATATCTGCTGCGTGCAGCGGCGTCTCAGGCCTCGCGGAGGGTGAGGCTGTGGGCAGCTGAGCAACTGCAGGCAGGGAGAGCCCATCAGGCAGCACGGGCCCCGGCTCGCGTGTTTGCGATCGCCGGAGTGAGAACCTCACCGTTCACGCTCTGCTGACCGAGCCTGGCGCACACCTTTCACACTTAATGATTACAGACGGACAGCGCCTTGCAGCGGACGTTGGACTGGAGCACGCAACGCTCTCTTCTCTCCTGTTCCTACTCACGCTGCCCAGCACAGCCCCTCCGGGGGACAACAGCCACACAGGTGACCGATCTCTCACCAGGACACACTGCACAGACAGCAGGACGAGAAGAACACCAAAACTGAGCCTTGACTGCTCCACCCTCCCCGTGGACCCCGAGGACCTGTGCTGTGGTGGGGGTCCCTGCTCCACGGCCAGTTCTGCTCCGTGCTGGTGTTTTCCCTGCCTGCTGCAGGAAATGTATTTCCATACTCCCCAATGCAGGGAAACTTCCCAGGCAGACAAAGTGATCAAGGTCTACAAGCCTGCAGCAGACTTTAACTGATCTTTAAACCAAGCAGTCTGTGATGTTAGCAGCTGAAACTTAAAGTTCAGGTTGCATTATTAACACTCCTAAACTCCTCTGAGACTTCACTCTGTAGCGTAGGTTTAAATATAAACATGCTGAACTTCCTCTGCTTCACTTGTAAGTAAAAAACCAGCCTACTATCAGGAGGAAATAACAGATTAATCTAAACTATACTTTGAACCTTTATTGACTTGCCCAGAAAATTACCACACCTATCTAAATCAAGCATTTACTTTTCTGTTTTGGGGTTTTTTTTTTCCTCCCCTTTCATTCTTTTGTTTCTGCAGACAAAACCAAATGCGTGAGCTTCATCCTTCAATTTAATGGTAACAGGAAAAAAATCTCCACGTTCTTGTCAAAGAGGAACCTGCCACTTAAGTAAAAAAGCAGAAGCTGGCTGACTTATAAATAGCACAAGAATCTGAAATTGGCAAGGGATCAGGAATGTTAATTTTACAACTTATCTTTTCGTACTTGAAATCCTAAAAGCAGTTAACATTGTGGAGTGATCTGTGGTTTTTTTCTAGGAAGACGTTAAGTTTGTACTTTTAATTTATTGTGAATAAAAGCTGTAATGTCCCTTCCAAAAAACGTTAGAGGCTTTGCACATTACAGCTGCTGTTGTTTAAGTATTCTAAAATATTAATTAGATTCGTCAACTTGATATAAAAATACTGAAATTACAGTGTCGGGGCTATGTACTCCTGCTTTCAGGGCACAATTTGTGTCACTACCACATCTAAGCATGACTAATGCATTGATATTGAACACAACTGTTTAGTAAATATTTCTCTTAGAAAGTAAAGCAAAATGCTTCATCGGCACCACAGGTAAATGCTGCTCCTCCACTCCGGGGTGGCATCCACCGAAGGACACCTGAGAAGTTACATAGGCTACGTCTAGTCTCTAAGTGTTAAAACCAGGATAACTAAGGCTAACTTCAAACAACTACTAGAAGTACTTGATAAACCAAACGGTGACAAAGATCTAATGATCTTACGGGCGTAAGCTCTGTAGGGACGGATCCAGCACTGTGCGCTCCTCAACCCTCCCCATATTCAGAGGAGAGAAACACAAATCCTTTGTGACAATGCTTATTTGTAAATTGCTGAAGGTTGCAAATTTAATTAGGTAGGAGTTGCCAAGTTCTCCTTGGAAGAGCTCGGTCAGCCCTGACGGCTTAACAAGGGAAAGCTGTCACACACCAGGCTCCAGAAAGGTGTCAGCTTGGGGGAGGGATGCCCTCTAAAAATAACAGCAGATTGAGGAACGGAGCTTTAAGAAAAACAAAGGTGCTCACCCAGCTTTAGAAATACTAATGCTTATCTCCTGTTTTTGAGGTGAACAACAACGGTGAGTACGGAAAGGCTTAGCTTCTCTACAAAATTCGACGAGTCTAACATTTGTTTATTTTGCATTTTTCTGTGCAAGCACCAAGGTTCTCTGCTGGCGATTCTCCTCATCCTGGTTTGTTCTTTAGCCCAAACGCACGTACTCCGGGGGTGGGGGGACAGATATTGCCTCCTTTAATGCAGCAGGTAATTCTGCATGTGTCACGCACCTCCCGGGCCAGGGGCAAAGGATGCAGCTTCACTTAATGCCTCCCTGCATCCCCCTCACCTGGATGCTTCCTCCTTCGGCTCAGTGACTGCTGATGGAAAGGGTCCACAGCTACAGACATAGCCACAGAGCATTAAAAACGGAGCCAGGAGCTTTGGTCTCAGGTTTAAAATAAGGGCATCAGAAAAGAAATATGAAAAGGGAAACAAACATGGAAGATTACTTCAGGAGCACAAGTTGCTTAAGGTGCAAACTTGCTTTATATTGTTCAGGTATATTTTTGAACTCAATGATTTTCCTGCTGGCCTTGCAGGCTTTTTTTAATCACACTGAAATTCTTTTAGTAAAGTAACTTCCTATCTGTTCCAGCCACCAACTAAGTTTACTATGGACAAAAAGCTCTATTGTCATTTGTTTCCCTCCAAGAAACTTTTCTAGTGTACGAGAAATAAAAGCTTTTTGGCTTAACAGGCAGTCACACTATGATTCGTTTTATTTTATAGAACCCTAGTAAAAAGAGGCCCCCTGCCCCTCCCCCCACCAACCAACCTAAAGGCTAGAGGAAAATAAACCCCAACCCACTTGAAAAAAAAACACAATGGTATTTTTTACAGTGAATGTAATAAAATGCTCTCAGGCAGCATATTTCAAAACGTACAGATCTGCAGGTGAATTATGCCACTGCCACAGCGGTGCTGCCACCCTTTGACAGGCTAAAGGTTTTATTTTTTTTTTAAAACTTGCAGTGGGCAAACTATAATTCAGTATGGAAGTGCTACAACCCTTAGGAAGACTGAAGTTTGGCGTATGCTGGGGGTATCCTCTGGCTTTATCTTCTATCAAGGACAGAGATCAGATGTGAATTTGAAGTGGGCCTCTTAAAAGCTGTTGTTGTTAACATGATGGCCACAGCTGAAGTGTACGCAATCACGTCCACTTAGAAACCATCAGCCTGCAAAACACATCAACCCATAGTCTTTTACCTGCCAACTCCCCTGATACACAAGCATCTTAAAAATACAATCAAATTAATCCGAGTTCATCTCCTGGCTTCTCACTCCCTGCTTTGCTCATTGCTGTATTTACTCCCAAATAAACATGACATTACTTGGCAGGTCCCATTTGGCCAGGTCTCCAGTCTGAAAGCACAGCTAAATGAAAGGGGCCAGCGGTTGTTTTACTAGTCAGCCTTCCATCAAATTTCTTGATTCACAGAGGTTACCATATATTCTTTTATTAAACTGATCTCTCTGGCATGATTTTGTGTTCTCTGAATGACACTAGACAGAATTAAAATAAATAAATAAGTTTTACCCATCTTTACACTCCCTTCATTGACCAGTCATTTGTAACAACTGCACTTTCAAAAACAGGAACACAGCAAACACCGTCCCATCCAGGCACCAGCCCTGCAGAAAGAACGAGGCTTCGGTGTCTAACTCCAGATTATCTCAAAATTGACAATGAAGATGAGGTGGGAATAAAGGCAAGAAAAAAAGTGCCCATATGAGGAGTATTCTTTGTATGACTATCCAGGTCAAGAGCACTTTGCTTAATTCTGGGCTCAGGGAAATCACTCTACACACTAGACAAGGAACAAAAGGCAATTTGTACCTTCTGGCAGTATTTGGAATATTAGCCAGGTCTGAGACACCAACATTTAGGCCAGCAAAAGTTCCAACAGCAGTGAAATTTCACTAAATTAGGCACAGCTATCACAAACAACTAAAAAACCAAACACCCGCCTCCAAAATCCAAAAAACCCACAAAACCTGGAATCTACCCAATTTATAAAGTTTTACACCACTCCTCAAATCTTCAGACAGTAAAGGCGCACACACAGTTTGCAATACAGAAACAGGAAGAGGTCTGAAAAGTGACTGTTTAAAAAAAAAAGAAAAAAATTCTCAGCAGTGCATAAAGACCAACGTAAACCTTTCCCTGCTTCTCCCCCCATTTCAGTTTTTAAAAAGATAGTATCTTGAGTGAATAAAAGCAGATTGTAAGAGCTTCCTAGTGGGGACTGTGTTACTAACCTAAACACCAAGCAGACTGACGGTAGGTCAGCTCACGACGGACAGAACTACAACTGGCTGGTAATACATAAATCACTAGCTAGTTTCAGTGGAGAGAGGCTGCCAGGCTGCATTATGATCCCAGGTTATCTAGTTCCAGCCAACCAGTAGGAATTATGTGGGAGAATACCATAAATGATATAGATATTACACATGTGCCTGCGAACACCTTGCTAGCATCTGTTACTTCCCACCGGATCTCCCACGTGTATGCGAAATGTCACCCC